ATTGATAACACATTTACATAACGATACATCCCTTCTTTCGCTTTTTCGGAACAACAGGGCAAAGTACGGCACGGATAGCTTCATCGAAAACGTTCTTCAATCCTTTTTGAGTCAATGCAGAACATTCCAAATATTTAACAGCTCCGATTTCCTTGGCCATTTGTAATCCTTGCGGATAGGTGATAGGCGCCATACGCTTTTCTCTCAATTTATCTATGGTTTCTTTATCTTCTCGTAAATCCAATTTGGTTCCGACGAGAATAATGGGTGTGTTCGGAGCATGATGAGAAATTTCGGGGTACCACTTTAATGTTTGAAAAGGAAGGAGAACAACATGAAAGAGTTAATGGTCAATTGAGTTTTCAAATCACAATCATTTAAAAGATATCGAAACAAATAAAAATTTCCATCGACGGTGAAGCAGATTGCACCAAGGTTTGGAAAGAACCCAATGCAACAGCACTGCTATGCTTAATTCTAGCCAATAAGCGAAAACAATGCAGCAAATAGATGAATTACCTTTGTTCTCACGTTTTCGAATGAAGGAGGAGACACCAATGAAAAACAAATTAAGAATACATCGGTTTGAGGGTACGAAAGAGGACGTAGACGATCGTAATCTTCTTGACCAGCTGTATCCCACAAACCTAAGTTGATAGGTTTTCCGTCCACCATGACATTAGCGGAATAGTTGTCAAAGCTGGGTATTTGCAAATGATTTTAATCGATGAAACCGGGTAACGGATATTCAAAGTGGAGCATGTTGTAAACAGTGTCATAAGAGCACCAAATTCGGGTTGATGAGTGAATAGAACAAGGTGTATAAATTACAGAGGGAACATATGAGACGGAGCTTATTAGACACAGCAACATGGAAATTGCTTAGCAGAGGGTCTAAAAATAAACTTACACAGTGGGAATATACTCTCCGGGGAAAGCGTTGGTTGTATAACTGATGAGTAAACATGTTTTACCGACGGCACTAAACAATTAAAAGGCGGATAGGAAATTTAAAACAAACACCGGATGCGGATGAATGAATAAGAAGTCGTGGTTAGCATCCTCCTTTAAATTTACAATAGACCTCAAAAAACACTGAATTCTACTCCACGGTGAAATGCAAATAATAACTGCGTGGATACATGAATATTGTTTATATAACCCTTGCATTCTATTCACCATGAAGCCGGAATGTATCATTCTCTGTTCGTGTTTTTCACATCACCAACACGAAAAACACAACGAATTTCTGACTCAACCTTCACCACAGCAACACAGACGATAGAAAAAGTACATACCCATCACCGACTACAACACATTTGATAGCCTGCATGGTTTACTGAGTGGAAATAGAAAATTGGAGGGAATGAGCTAAGAGGGATACAAAAACCTGTGTTAGCGAGGGAGCGTGTTTAGCATTGGTTCAGAGTGTGAATTGAGCATGAGCGACGACGACATGCAGACGAGGAGACATACCGGATGCGACAACAGACGGGGTGGCAGAGTGTATCTAACAGAGAGGAGAATGAATTCACAGACAAGGAAGTCCCGGGGAATGATGATGTTTTCGGCCACCGCGGAAAGCGTCGCACAACTTTTGGCCTTGGCACGTGACCTGGCAATTTATCATTTTTGCTTCCTCGCGATATCATATCGAACCGGGAATTGACTTATTGAATATTTGAATATCTGAATTTAGCACATATATTTAATTGTAACCACAATAAGCAAGGCAATTCAATCAACTGTTACTGCCGTTCAATCCCTACAGTTATTCTAAATCTACCTCAATGGCACCTTCTTGCCCTCCTTGGACGTCTCCAATGCCTCCATTCTCATTCACGCCATCCGTATCCACACCTCCTAAGGCACTTTGGGCGCTTCCGGCAATGTCTGTCTCCTTCTTCGACCCTCCTTCATCTTGACGTTGCTTCTTAGTCGGTCGTGAATCGGATTGTTGGTCAGAATTACCTTTTCTGCTACACCAATGGGTAAAAATAACAATCAATTTGCAGTGCACAAAACATTTCAATCAACAGTAACAAATAACCTCTTATTTCCTTTCCCAGCTCTAGATTTTGGTCCCCAATTCTTTTCCGGATTTTCCTGGAAGCGTACTAACTTGATCTTTCGAGAAGGCGGGTTTGCCAGCTTATTGTACTTGAAATTAACTTCAATACTATATTCAGGAGCCAAAAACTCTGGTCAATATCCTAAAATTTTTTTAAAAAAAAACGATGTAATCGAGGAACTGACCTGGACTCAGACGATAGAATTTTCTCTTGGGGTGTGTCAGGTCTAATATTCTTAATTGGTACACGCTTGATCTGTGTCATCCCAAGTCAAAAGCACGAGCAAATACCGAAAGTTAATGAGCCTATTCACCGCAACTTCAACAACTGACAACATTAAATAACATACATGAGCTCTCATGATATCCCACATTACGCTCGGTGGCGCGTTTGTCTTAACCGATGATGGGGAAGCATGGGAAATTGAAGCCTCGTATCCAGCATTATAAATTGCCGAGCTATGTCGTTGATATAAAGTAAGTAATGCTGTGTACACTGGATGCAAAAAAAAAGACGGCTCTAACCATAAATCAAGTAGTGAAATACTGTTGCAATGTAGTGTCGTGGTTAAATCTCGCAAACCCCAGTACAGAGGAGCTTCAATCTCCTATTTATGACGATTTAAATGTGTTATATTCATCACTGATTTACCCTGTCAAATTTGAGAAGATAAAGGAAACGGTCTACGTACCTCTGAGATTACAGTCAACATTCCCAACATCCTCGGCTGAGTATGGTATAATTCTTTGGCGTCTTTCACATGCTCGATCATTTTTTGCACAAATGATTTATCATGGATTGGACCATTATATATTGGACCGCCAATCTAAATCCACATAGGAAGATTGGAAGGATAGTACATTAGAGAATTGAAGCGATAATGTCATATAGAACGAGACAAACTTACTTGGAATTTACCACCGCATGTATCACATTCCCGGTTGACTACTGGACCTTGAATTGGCCCATATTTGATATTCCCGTTCGGTTGTACTTGTGCTTTTCCCATCGGCTGGAAATGATATGATCGACACCCTTGGCACCAGTAGACATGAGACAATTTGCTATTCAAACGAGGGCATCCTGTCAGTGTCGCTTCATGGTACATCGCCTTAACTTAGCGGATAGAGGCGAAATTGCTTTAATTGAAGGGGATTAGACCAACCTCGCTGTCAATTTCGCTTCGTTTGCTCCTGTGAAAACGCGAACAAAAATGCGAACGTAAAAGTCAATGCTACATGACACTAACGGAACTATGTATTTACGGTGGCGGGCAGCCGTTGTCATCAGTAAATTCAACACTAATCGCAAAGCCATTTCGTGACAGAAAGAAGATTTGAGTGGAATGCCGCCATACTTCACAAAACTATGTGAATGAAAACCAGTTGAATAGGAAGCAGAGATAATTGAGTCAATTCAAATATTCAAACGGAAGAACTGAAATAAAATAAATTACCAGGCTTCAGTGAAATTCGCGCCTGCAAGTACCTGCATATCCGTACAAGTTACGCATAATAGACCTTTGTATCAAGACTGTTAATTACGACCTATCTGTGACAACTTGAAGGAAATCAGGCATACCTCCGTCGGCAATGGACATCATGGCCCCATCAATGAATGGTGAAGCAGAACCATACGGATCTAAGTCGATTACATCGAAGTTCTTTTTGGGTTCTGCGTGACTGTACATCAAGGTGCTAAAAGAGAGGAATCAGCAAACATGTCTATATTCGACATGGGTCAAAATGAAGTAACTTTCAGATATCATACTTGGCATCGCTCCGGCTACTCCTTATTAAACCATCGGGCACATTATTAAACTTCATATTCCGCTCAATCGATTTCACTGCATCTTGCTCTAAATCGTTTGCAATGATGTGTTTGATTCCTTCTATTTCCTTCGAATATCGAACAGAGCGAAGCCCAGTAGCGGCAAGAGCTTCTAGAATTGTGAATTTGTGGTGCTGCAGGAGGAAATGTGCTCAATATAACGGAGTATTCAACCACATGTATACTCTACTGTAAATATGTTACCTTTGGAGGAGTTGAAATTGTAGTCGAAGAGGCAGAGGCATTGGAAACTTGTTCAGCGGGTGTCGCAGACGGTGACTCGGAGGGTGTATCTACCAGAACGAACGGACGGAATAGAGTATTATAAAGCCATTAACAAACCGCTCATTGCGTCTGTAAATACAACAATAGTGCACTTACCCTCGCCTATCGGCTTTTCCTGCTCCTTCTTTTTCTTCTTCAAAGCGCGTTCAGTCAATTCTACGTTCCGTATATCCCGCCATGTTTTTATCGCAGCGATTGACATATCCCGGTTGAACTGTTGGACAGGATTATAAAAGACTTCATTTGTGTTTGGAAACAAAATTGTGGCCTTTCCTTCAGTTATCGTAGTGAATTCTTGGTCTTCGTACGTAACCGTCGAAGAAAGTGTATTCGGGGAGTCGGTGGTCATTGTAGTGTATGATTTAACAAGGCAATTGAAAGAACGGGAATATATGATGGAATGTACTGTGAGACGTTTAGGAAACAGACAAATCTTAACGAATCGCATATAGGTAGAAGATGACTCTAACATGTTCAACAGTATTAATTTGGTGATCACGTGTAAGTTGTCAAGTGGCGATGCTCGTTGAGTATGGAGTTTGGACAAGTTATACTACTTTACTTGTTTGAAGTAATCTGTTAAATTACCAATATGCTACGAATCGTCTTAAAAATAAAATTAAATGACGAAGATGAGTAGAAAGCAATGATGGTAATCTTACTTGATCTACCCCTCAGTTCGGTTACCTCGCCACGCCAACTGAAGATCAAGGTCACTGTGTCGTATCTGCAATTCCCTGGGCAAATTAGAATACCAAACAAAATGAGCCGATCAATCCATATCAGTGTTACTTGTTTCTACCGTCTGTCATTTGCAAAGTCCGGGAATCGAACCCGGGTCTGCCGCGGCCTGATTACTAAACGTATGGCAGGCGGCAATTATACCACTAAACCAACTTTGCATCTGTGTCGGCTCAGTGATATATGCTACCTGATAATTTGCTTATGCTTGATCGAAGAATACGATTGAAAGGATTCAATTTTCTTGTTGAGAAATACTGATCGATACATAAGTCATGATACCACTGTTTTCAATTTATCGAATTTGTATTATGTAGGATAACTTGCCTAGCAGTCATCCATTTACTTGCAGATTGAGAAGAATAACTGATTGGTCCCAGTTGTATAAGGTTAGTCTCTATACTCTCTCTGCTATGTATGTAGATCGAAATGTCGATATGTCAAGTAATCTGCAGTCCGCTCTCCGTTCGCGAGAAGCCTTCGACGCCAGTTCAGCAATCCATATTAAAACTGTCTGATTAAAACCGTTTATAGATAGTTTCATTTATCCAAGCTTTACATCTATTTACTTCTGATACCGTTACACTATGTCGGCTGCCACACTTTCACCGACGCCCTTAAAAGCCCTCATCGTTTACTTACCACATATTTCAATGCTCCAGGGGCCCTCTTCCTTGGAAACGGTACTATCGACAACTCCGACGCCACATCTGGACCAAATCGCACAAGAAGGAGCTTCAGGAGAAGTATATTTTGAATCTAGTCGCAATCAGTCTAAGTGTAACCATGAAATACGGCGGCTTTTGGAGTTATTAGGGGTGGTTTATGAGCTGAAAGATGGAGTGGTGAGTTCTGATGTTACTTCTTGGATTAGCAAGATCATTTTGCTGACAGCTTCTGTTAGTTTCATGTAAATTCAACATTAGGGCAAATGTATTTCACTATTCATTTACTAGTTCCCCATATCAGGGATTTTAAATTTACTTTAATGTTAGGTACAAGAATATCAAATTTGCATGCGTTACGAACTCTTCTTCTATACATGATGCTTTTAAACAGCACATGCCGACATTGTTCAATGACTGCAGTTTACTTCCATCTTCTATATTTCGAACAGATAATACAACGACATTCGACCCAGTGAGTGCCAGCACCCAAATTTATAGCCATTTAAACCAAGTCATGTCGCAAAATGACATTGTCATACTACATTGCTCGGATAGACCGTTTTCAGAACCTACGAGCGGGAAAGAATCTTCAGTAACGCCTATAGAGCGAAAAACTGATTTGCTGAAGGTCGTTGATCTAGTCGTAGATATGATATTTCGAGATGAAGAGGTGCAATCGCGAAAATGGAGTTGGCAGGATTGTTTCAAAGTGTTTGTTGCCGGTTGGGACGACAAAGGCAACTTGGAAGAAATCGAAAATGCATATGAGAATGTCCAGAAGTCCACCACACAAGAGTTGGGTATCCAGGATGAAGCAGTTGTCGAAATGTTGAAAGTGCTGAAACCGACACCATCTCATCGTATGAAGGATGGCAAGCAAGTTCAAGTTGAACGGTGAGGAACCATTCTTACCTAGTGTTCCGCTTGATCAAACCTAAATTGTCTTCATTCCATAAGAGTACCGTGCACGGCTTTTTATCACCATATCCCATCGGTTCGTCGAGATACGTGCAACAAATTTAATGAATGGGAGGTATCCCAGCGCGGAGGGAATTTGGGCATCGGGTCATGGCATTTCATGAAGGAAATAGGATTCAAGATGGGAGCGGTAGACAAGTATGGTGCATAATTTGGCATAATCTCACTTTTAATGATCAGTCGCAAATCGAGACACATTGTAAGCCAGTATAATACTGTTGTAGTAGTGTGTTTCTAAAAATAGACGCGGGATGGATTGCTCCAACTCCTGTCAACCGAGTCGTTCTTTGTTTTTCTCACATTTGGAAACCGCTTCGAGGGAATTCGCACGACTACATTTTTCATCCTTTTATAGCCTCGCCATCCCCTCTCATCTTTACATTTTTCCGATATATTCTCTGTGTATAGCGTTGCCGTTGCATTATGATGGCTCAGGAAAGTATGAACTCGGTCCCTGACCTACAAGAGAGCGCAGCCCCAATCGAGGTCCCTACCAAGCCCCTGGTAGCGCAGATAAACACAGAACAACCCAGCATCGCAATTTCTTCGAAACCTTCCTCTCCTACTTCAGCTCCGTCTTCTCCTATGGGTTCTGAACAGCAACTCTCCCAATCTAGCAAGAAGCTCACCAACACCATTCTTCAACGGTCACCCCACGATGCTTTCACCGCAAGGCCCATCGCTCCATTCTTTGAATCTAAAAAGTTTGCTGACGCAGTTCTAGCCCTCGAATCCGGTGAAGAAATTCAAGTTCACAGAATTTTGTTGGCCGCTCGGTCACAGTTATTCGCTGAGATTTTCGATCAACCTGGGGAACCTTGTCCGAAAACCAGTCTACCAAAGTACAAGCTCGATGTCGAGGATCCTCTGAATGCTGTTCCCGAGGTCTTAACATACTTCTACCGCAGCTCAATTGCTGTCAACCTTGAAAATATTATTCCAATCTTATATGCTGCAGAAATGCTCAAAATTCCCGATTTGATTTCTCTCACAAATCTGTATATCGAACGAGAATTGCCCGCTCATTGCTTCGAGTTTTTGGAATTGGCCGTAGCATTCAACCGGCAATCACTTATCCCGAAGATTATTAACGCTATTGCAGTGCATCATGGCGCTGAATTATCTACCGAGTCTCAGTGGACTGCTATTTGCCATTTATCACTCAAGGATTTTCAATCGCTGATCTCTCATCCTAACTATATGCCTCATAACGAGTCGGACAAGTTTGTTTTGGTGTCACATTATGTTGAGAAAAATCTGGAAGGACAAAGCAAGAAATGTTTGTTGAAGGAATTCCAAGAGGAATCGGATAGAAAGATAACCGACGAGGAAAGAATCCAATTGTTTACACAAATCAAGTTTTCACAAATGACAGTTCAACAATTGGAAGCTGCATATGCTAATAAGCTAGTACCGAATGATTTAGTTGTGGCTGGCTTACTGGAAAAGTTGAAAACTCAATCTTCAAGCACCGAGGATTCCGGTTTGGTGAAACTTTTGACTATGCAAAGGTTTGTATAGTATAACGTTTCTCTTTCTCATACCAAATTCTAATGTCTTTTTGAATTTGAAACTCTTCAGACCTAACGGGGGCATACCTTCCCCTAGCGCAAGTCCTCCAGTTCCACCGATGAAATCAGTGGATGATGCTTCATCGCAGAGTAGCCAAGAAGCCCCACTTCCCGGCACTCCGAATGCACCAGTCTCTGGTCCGATGCATCCTCCTCGCCGCAACACAGGCCGAACTGCTCCTAGTCAAGCTGACTTGAACGGTCAAGGTGTGCCTCTGAATTCTATGAACCAAAGTCCGAATATGCCTCCCCAAGGCCCCGCTCCTGTTCAAAATGAGCAATTACCGTTCAATCCCTACCAACAATTACCCCCGGCCCCTGGCAATCTTACAACCACCCCTATTGATGCACCGCACGTTTCTCTTCCCCGTCAGCAATCGTTCCCTCTTGCAAACCAACCTTACCCTATTAATGATGGAGCTAGCGTCCACGGTATCCCTGCTTCCAATGATCCATCGAAACGAGCATCAGTATACAGCAACTACCAATTGCAACAGCCATCCAATCCACCCTCTCCTCACGTCTTACCCCAGAATGCACCAACCTCGATGGCTGGCCCGCAACCCATTGCAGCCCCGCAACAAGGGTATCAACCCCCGCCTCAAAGATTCATGGACGGATTGCCGGGCCACCTTCAAGGTCAGCAACAGCAGCCGCCTAATGGGATGATGAACCAGCAAGCAGGACAGTCTCAGGGCCCGCCTAATGGTCAAATGCCTCCTCAAAGCCAACAGTACGGTGGCCCGCAGCAGTACAACAATCAACAATTCCAAAATAATCCTCAGCAACCGCCGCAACCTCATCCTAATCAACAACCGGGCTATCCCGGTATGCCTATGCAAGGTGGACCGAATCAACCACCTAACCCGTACCCAATGCAGTTTCAAAATCCGCAAATGCAGTACCAAAATCCTGCCTCTCAACCTGGCCAAGGTCAAAAATATCAAGCTCCATCCAGCGTAAAAGAGAATAAAATGGGTGCTAACGCCAAAGGATTTTTGAATCTGATTAAGAAGAAGGCCGGAGGACATTAGATTCCTATTCAAGGGATACTCATTAGAAAATTATTCTGAAACAGCAAAACCCGTTCAGCTAAATTAAAGATGGCAGCTGCTAAGCGCAATGGATTAGACGTAGGTAAAATAACTCAATGGTCAGAGTGGTGGTGGTGGAAATGTAATCATTTTATTTTATTTTGTTGAACATTATAGAGACCTCTTGTAAATGGCGGTTGCACCTAAATTGTTTATTAATATATATTATTATGTCGCTATTAAAGGGATATGGCATTCTCCTTGAACCTATCAGAATCGTAGCTGCGGAAGGTCTTTGTGAGTCTAAAATATAATTGGATTTAACACTAGTCACTGATGATATCCTAAAGACTTCAACGGACGGGTGGATCTACAACCGCATCCTCAATGAGTGCTAATCGTCAATTTTAACTTCGACTCCGAACATCACCCTGCTATTCCTTCAATATCTAGTCAGTTCCTTCATAATACCCAGCGACTGACTCTTGTACCCACCACCAAACAGATACCAATGATTCAGGTAATGATACAACTGATACAGTTGATGTCGTTTATCAAAATTATTAGATCTAGGATAATAACGATGATATTCAGCCCAGAAAGATTCGGTAATACCGCCAAACATTGTCATGATTGATAGTTCAGCTTCATGGTGACCGTAGTAGCATGCTGGATCAAATATCACTGGAGAGGACGTGATGGTGTTCGTGGCGTGGTTACCAGACCCTGTAAGATGGGGGTGAAATGATTAAGATTAATCGGCATTGTGTACGTTGTTAAAAAAACATTTGAAGTTTGGATTGATATCATGCGTGGAACGAAGACAAGACGTACATAAATCGCCGTGAAGAAGAGAAGGACTTATACCGCCTAGCCCGCCAAAAAACCGATCCAAGCAAGACTCCAAGAC